GGATTGCCAGCAACTGCCTGGAGGGTTGCTCCTCAGTACCAAGCATTTAGCAAAGCTGTATCAAAAACGGGAGCAGCTGGATAAAAAGAAAGCTGAAGCAGCAGCTAAATGTATGGTAAAAAAAAACAGGAGCAGAGAGGAAAAAAAAGGCCTCAGAAGAGAGTTATTACCAAAGCAAGTAGCAGGAATACTGCTCTTACCTTGGTAGATGATGAGGAGGAGGACACATTTGATGATGAAAGTGTGAGCAAGAATACAAGTGATATTGAGGAAGCTATCGAGGTATGTAAATTGAGGACAAGAAATACTAGGTATTTTCAAACTAACGACTTGACTTTATTAGAGCTCCAAACAACAAGATTAAGCTTTCTAATTTAGAGCAGGACATACACCTATCTCTGCCAGATAACCAAATAATTTTTCAATTTTCTATCCTAATTTAAATAATTTCTAACTACTCCAATTACAGATTCTCACTCTCTCTACAGTTTTTCCAACAGCAGTTCTCAACAACTAGTATAGGCAATAAGCCTGAGCATATGTAATTTAGATGAAAATTCAATGCTAAATAATAAGCATAAACTGGTTCCAAGTGTTGTAGCTACCTTAATTTATGATTTTACATGTGGTGTCCTATTTTTGAGTGGTGTCCCATTACTACAGGGTGTCCCAACACTAGTGTCACAAACTGTGATTAAAGCAAGGCAGATTTTAGATAGCCCAGAATTCTGAGCTATAGGTATGTTGGGATTTCACATGATGCACCCTAGTGCACCATAGGTTATTATGTTTACCTGTTTATAACTCACAGTTGTGAATCACATGATATTATGATTTTCGCACATGACTCAATTTATGAGTCATGGATTTCACTCAGGTGATGCGAGTTATGCACCTGACTTGGTTATTATGTTTTGATTGGTTTTAAGTATGTTGTGCAGTGACTCATAGGAGTCGGCTGATGGATTTCACATGACTCATGGTTATGAGTCACAGGGTTCGCGTGACGCGAGGTATGAGTCACACCAGGTGAAGAACTACTATATAAGGGATCGCTAGGACCCTAAAGTATTAGTTCTTCACACGTTCTTCTTGTTTATTTCCTACCTTTAAGTTATTACAATAAAAACCTACCTTTACACTCTTTAAGATTTATCTTAAGAAACCCGAGAACTATCTTTCCTCCCAAACGAGAAAACTATTTCTCCTCCCACATCAAACGACTAAGTCCTAAGCGAGGACTTAAGAAGGTTAAAGGAATAGACGCGATAAGATAGAAGTCAAGAGGACTTAGCTATCCACATCACGTAGGCATCAGCCTAAGAACTGTTACCTCGATACGCATTAAGAATCATTACCTGTCGCACCCCCGCACCTGGTAGGATTCTTAATAGCTAGGTAGAATATATTAGATTTTTGTATCTCCTATATAACATAACATCATATAACTGTCATCCTTTAATTCTACATCCTAACTTTTCCTTTACCAATTTCAAATCTCATATCTATCTTACAAGAAATGGAATCTAATAAGAGTCGGAATATTCCTAACATAGGAGGAAGTGTTAATTCTAATACTGTATGAAGTCGCAGAAGACATGCAAGACTCCAGCAATTGAAAGCCTCAAATAGTGTAAGCTATAATCGAATTCCTTCTATAGAATAATATACTATATATTATATATGTTTTTTTAGAAATTTCAATTTAGATTAGAACTAAAAATCAAATCAAATATAATTGTATAAATTGCCAGTGAATCAACTCCTCCGAAGGAACCAAGTAGAGAAGTACTTTGTGTATGGAAATTTCATAAACATCAAAAGATTAAGAAGTTCCTTCAACAATCACAAGATGCAGTAGTTCAGAATATGAGCATTGAGGATCAAAGTCCTATGGTAGCAGAGTCTTCATAATCAGAGTTCGAGAAAAAATAGGCTTGCTATAAGACATGGCCAAGACATTCAAGCAACTCTCGAAAGGCATGTCCAATATACCTAGAAATCTTACAGGATACGGTAAAAGCACTTAAGAAAGTAATTTCTGTTGGCAAAAGCAGAAATGGTAAAAGGCTTGCTAGTACTTATTTTACTTAGCACTTCCAGGTCTATATGTTCTTGAAAGTACAAATCAAGAATAAGCAAGCAGGTTTATATAATTCTAAGTTACTTACAGGAGTTTAGCCAATCTTGCAGTCATGGAAAATATTAGTACAGCAAGTTGTTGATGGTGGCAGTTAGGGACAAAAAATATGAGAATGGATCATACGCCATAATGTTATGTGGGTAACCAAGTATCATATCCCCAGACTAAATACAGGAAAGAATCCTCAAGTTCTTAGTTTGCTAGAAGATGGAGATACATTGTTAGCTGCTAGACAATATATTCAGCAGGTTGGAGACAGTAAGTGTCCATGGGATTGAAACAGTTCTCATAAGAGTAAATAGGTTAACTAAAGATTTAATTAAATCTGACTTCACAAGGTTTAGTAAAGGAAATAGCCAGGTATTGAAGAAGTGTAGACGAAGACCCAGATATCTCCAATTGATCTACCAACAATGTTATGCGTGAGGTTCAGAAGGTTATAGCATCCTCTACTGCTGCTTGGTAGCTGAAAAAACTCAGATTTAAGTATAAATAGTACCATAAGGGCATCTACAATGATAGCTATAAATAAGCAGATGTACGAAAGTACCGCCATGAGGTATTTCTTCTCAAGATGGCCTCATATAAGGATCAGTTGATGTTGTGGGATGAAAATCTTGATATTATACCAAATCCATAATATCAATCTGGTGACAATCAATCTTTGGTTCTTGTTACCTAAGATGAATCAACATTTAACTCCAATGATGGTCAGCATTTTATTTGGGTATATAAGGATCATAATCCTATTTGAAAAAAGGCCATGGTCAAAGACTTCATGTCTCAGAATTTCTAATACCTATTGGCCATCTTGGTAATGGTACTGCTTGCATAATATTGAAGTGCAGAGGAGAGGTCTGGTGGAATGGAGATCGTCTTTTAGACCAAATCATCAATGAGGCAATTCCTGCTTTTGAAGCACAGTTTCCCGGCTGTCAAACATTATTTGCCTTCAACAATGCATGTAATCACCTGAAATATGCAGACGACACCTTGCAAGTTTCTGAAATAAACTTAGAATCAGGAGGAAAAAAGAGTCAACAGATGCACAACACCAACGTTATCAATAGCAACCATCCCGAGAGTGCATATATACAACAAATGACATTTCTTGATGGTACATCAAAAGGATTGAAAGCTGTGCTTATTGAGCATAGTCTTTGGCCACAAGATGGGTCCTGGTTTCTGGCTCAGTATTCAATTAAATCCACAACAAACAAAAAGTCCAAACTAAATCCATGGTGTTTAGATAGAGGAACTTGTTGTACTTGTACACTTCTAGCTGCACAACCAAATTTTCAAAACCAAAAGAGCCAGATTGAGGAAGCCATTTTGGCAGCTAGTTATGAGGTTATTTTCTATCCAGTATTCCATTGCAAAATTAACTTTATAGAATACTTTTGGGGTACTACAAAGGTTTATACAAGGAATAACTGTAAGTATGACTTTGAAGCATTGAAATGCCTAGTACCAGAGGCGTTAGCAGCTATTCCAAATCAACAAATCTGGAGATATTGGGCTTGCACTGAGAGGATTATAGATGCATGTTGTAATGCAATTGTTTATGTATCACCAGAGTATGAGAGACTTGTTACTAGGAAGTACAAGTCTCACCACAGGGTAAACAATTTGTATAATGATTGAGGTACAGAATGTATTAATCAAGACGTAATCTATGTCTGAATGTTTACATAAATACAAAACCTGATTTGAAATACTACTACCATATTGGATAAATGTAAGAAAAACTTAGAGTGTAGCCTGAATTGAACATAGAACCTCTAAAATATGTTTCTAGATTTCATAACCCTTTACCGTAATAAATCAGTAGCGTTACAGGATGCAATAGCCTTGGTCCCCCTTTGAGACACTTTGCATCATATTGTGAATCGGTACAGTGGTGGATAAGGTATTTTCCTAGTATATAAAAAAGAGTGTCCAAAGGTAAATACCAAATTGCATGAAGAAAAGTAAACTCATAAGGGGCTCCCCCCTTATATAGACAAAGGAAATCCAAAAACCCATAATCCTCTGCTAGTTGCATGTAGCCGCTATGTGTCTCTTATCTTCCATCAGTTTCCATTACACATGCCAACCATCCCATACTACGAGACACCCGACCCATCTGATACAAAGAAAAACCCTGTGTGACAACCATATTATCTCCACCCTGGTGGTCGTGACACCCCTGCTGCTTTTATTTCTTTATCTTTAGGTATTGGCTCCAACCTCCAGGATTACTTCCTGCACCCCTGTAGCTGAGATCTAATTGTCCCCTGTCCTACCATATGATGATTAGAATAGTAGGATTCAACAGTATTACCTACAGGTGTTCTTCAGGATATAATTCCTGGGCTGGACATCTCTTTGGGTTTGGTCTTTAGATTTTAGATTTTATTTGTTTGGCTTAGTTTGGAGGTTGTCAGGGGGTTTCTATAGCTTGGACTTTTTTTTTTTAGTATAGACTTTCTCCAGTGCACTATTTTATTTACATTATAGCTTGATTGCTGCATGTGAGTTTGTTTGTTGTACCATAAACAACAAAATCTAAGAGTCAATTAAAATTCAAAAATCTACTAAGTTATCTCTTAGTTTAGTAGCTCAAGCATGGAATACCATCTTACAGTTTAATACCACATTCCACTCGATCCTCACCGCCAGCTTATTATCCTAAGACAAGTATCAGATTTACCAATATTTTCATGGGTTGCTTGCTATCTCATAGAATCTTCAAATTAACTCTTGTACAAGAGCTGAGCCGGTACTAACCAACTTTCCTGAGTTTGCTACTATGGCTGAAAATATTTAAATTATCTCTGGCGACCAAGCCGTAGCCCGTGTGGGAAGAATACCGAACATGCCCACCATGGATTCCACAGGGCAGGTTTTACAGGCCATCGGGGCTCTAACACAGCGCATCGACGGCCATTTTGCCGAGCTTGGTCAGCAGTTTGGCAGAATTGATCATCAGTTTGGTGAGGTTCATAAGCATTTTGATACCGCCAGTATTCCCAACCGTCCGGGGGCCCGGTGGGGCCCTACGGGGGGATTGCCAAGAGCCCCGGACGGGACGGGACGGCCATGTGCAGTCCTTCCCGGGCGGTGAAAGTAGAGGACGGCCGTATTCCGGTAGGACGGCGGGCCCTACGGGGTGAAATAGGGTTGGCAAGGGGGGCGGTGGGGGACCTCTGGGGACCGTGGGCCACTACCATGGACGGCAGGGGACTGTCGGGGACTGCGGAACTATTGTTTTGTCAGTAAGATATCAGGCAGTAGGACCGCAGTCCCCTGTAGTCCGTCCTGGAACTGCCAAACGGACGGACTACCAGCTATAGCCCGTCCCATCCTATCCCAATGACGGACGGACTGGACGGTTGGGAACACTGGATACCGCCGACAAGTGTTTTGAGACCATTGATCAGTGTTTCGCTGGTGTCAATCAGCGTTTTGATGCAATCGATGAGCGTTTCACTCATGTCGACCAGCGTCTCGCTCACATCGGTGATCGCTTGGATGACATTGAGGACCGTTTGGACGAAGGGGTGGTGGAGACCCGTTTTGATGAAGTCAATGACCGTTTCGACGGAATTGATCGCTCTTTCGATGAAGTTACTATCCGCCTTGACGCTAGGTGTGGGGAGTGTTTCTTCCATTTATTTAATGACATCAAGGCTAATTGTTTTGCTTAGTGATTTCAATTGGCTTTCTCGCCTTCATAACAGTTACGCCAATCATCCCTGGTTACCCTTGAGTCCTCTCCGGGCTCCGGTCAATCGACGTATCCCAGACTTCCCTCAAACCAGAGCCGCCATTGATGCCCTTGACGGTCAGCTGCAAGACCTCCTGCCCTGGTAGCTTGATATTTACTAAATATTGATAGAAATTGAACTAAATATATTGTTGGATGAGTACGGCCTTCCAATCACGGGGGATGTCGCACTCCGTAGGCAGAGGTTTGCAAGATATATTGGGCTCATCACAGCCGCGGTGGCATAGGGGAATGTGTGTCTTTTTTTTTTGTTTGGTAACGTATTTGACCTAGTTATGGGACACCCCTTAGTTATGGGACACTTTAAAAACTTGTACACAACATAAAGAATCATGAACCACAGCAGCAGTAGATGATTAATTTGGCAGCAACTAGG